AACATCAGAAAAATATTTTAGTCATGATAACCCCAGAAAGAAAGAAGGCAGTGATGAATCGGCTGTTAGACCTCATATTTAACTTGATATCAGGGTGATAAAAATTGAAGGTCCCATTGGGTGGGTGGAAGACCATTTCAGGCCAAGGGAGAACCTCCTCAGGCTTGCATGCATCTCAAAAGTGACAAGATAACTCCCACACATAATAGGGGAGGGAGCGAGGGAGGGGTGTGTGTGTACACGCACGTGCGTGTATGTGTGTGTGTGTGTGAGAGAGAGAGAGAGACAGAGACAGAGACAGAGACAGAGACAGAGACAGAGAGAGGAGGGCAGAAATGAAACCATCTAAATGCAAGAAATTCTTTGCCATTAGGATTATTTATCAGGAGTTGATCTAGATTGGAGGTAGTTAGGTTCCTGTTGGACCCTTAACTATAAACATGAATGTTTGGCTTCATGAATGAGTAAGAAATGGGATCCACTCCCCAGAAGTGCTCAGGGGCCCCTGTGGCACCAGGGACAGAACCAGAACCTGAAACACACAGAACACTTGAACCACAGCCAAGCCCTTTTTTTTCCTACTTTGTCAGCTTGTTTTCATGATCATATCTATCTATGTTGGAAATACAATCAGAAATTATAATCTTAAGCATCCATAAATATTTTTAAACAAAAAACTATTTTAGGGGCTGGAGCGATAGCACAGCGGGTAGGGTGTTTGCCTTGCATGCGGCCGACCCAGGTTCGATTCCCAGCATCCCATATGGTTCCCTGAGCACTGCCAGGAGTAATTCCTGAGTGCATGAGCCAGGAGTAACCCCTGTGCAATGCCGGGTGTGACCCAAAAAGAAAAAAAGCAAAAACTATTTAAAATTTAACCATAAATCTCTCATTGTTGAAGAGAATTAGTCAGCATTTCTAAACATTTCTCATCAGTCTAAAGGCTTCTGGTCTCTATGCTTTTTTATGTAAAATTCACTTTAAATCATTGCTCCGTCTATTCATTTTCTTGATACATTACTAAGAAGTTTCCTTTATAATTGGTATCTAACAGCCTATTTATGAGTTATTGAAACATGGTTTTGCTTGAATTTAACCTTTTTTGCAGTTCATTGACTATTTTAAATCTGAAATTATTTGGAGCTAGAGAGATAGCACAGCGGGTAGGGTGTTTGTCTTGCATGCGGCAGGCCAGGGTTCGAGTCCCAGCATCCCATATGGTCCCCTGAGCACTGCCAGAAGTAACTCATGAGTGCAGAGCCAGGAGTAACCCAAAAAGCAAAATAAATAAATCTGAAAAATCTGAATTTTTTTTTAATGTAGGAGTACTGCTATTTATTCAGCCACTGATTAGCTGATTGAATTGGCCATGAACTCCACTGAAATTACTTGTTTTTAAAAGAATTTAGTTCACTTTGATTCCTTCTATTCCAATTATTTTTGTTTTTATTTGCCCGTAGGTGTTTTCATATTTTCATTCTTTTCATGTGGGGTATCTCTTTAGCCTAGTCCTTTCAACATGAGAATGGTTTAAAACAAACATGATAAAGGGGTTGGAGTGATAGTATGGAGGGGAGGGGACTTGCCTTGTAAGCAGCCCACCCCGGTTTAATCCCTGGCACCCCGTATGGTTCCCCAAGCCCCGCAAATACTGATCCATGCCGAGTGAAGTCAGCCAGGAGAGAGACATACAGAATGATCGCAGATGTGGGATACAAAGGAAAATAATAAGGAATAACAGATGACCAAAGGCTCCAGACCCCAGGAACTGGCCTTACCGGGTGGGGTGGAGACAATGGTGGCAGGAAGTGACACTGGTGGTGGTGGGGGGTGTTGGGACACGTTGTGCACTAAACACGATCATGAACTGGATTGTAACTCTGGGTGCCTCAATAACAATTTTTTTTTTTTGCTTTTTGGGTCACACCCGGCAAGGCACAGGGGTCACTGCTGGCTCTGCGCTCAGGAATTACCCCTGGTAGTGCTCAGGGGACCATATGGGATGCTGGGAATCGAACGCGGGTCGGCCGCGTGCAAAGCAAACGCCCTACCTGCTGTGCTATCACTCCAGCCCCTCAATAACAATTTTTAAAAGGAAAAAAAATAGTATGAATGCAAAAAAAAAATAGAAAAGATAGATGAGAGACTTTTCTGTTTCACTGAGGCTTTTCATTGAGGTTTTGTGTTTCATTTTTTTCTTTTCTTTAGAAATCTTTTAAGGTTTTATTCAATAATTTGCACAAAAATATCAGTCACTGTCCTCCCGTTGTTCATCGATTTGCTCGAGCGGGCCCAGTAACATTGTGAGACTTGTTGTTACTGTGTTTGGCAGATCCAGAAAAAATAAGTTACACAAATGTTTGACTATTAAACATTTAACAAAGTTTAATTATCTTCCAGTTATGAGACAATTCAAATATAAATTTAGAAAACACAAGTTTGGAATTGAAATTATGTGTTTTAAAATATTCATTTTTCTTTAAAAAATTAGTGTTTTTATTTATTCTTTATAACTACCTTTTTTTGGGGGGGGTCACAGCCGGTGATGCACAGGGGTTACTCTGGTTCTGCACTCAGGAATTACCCCTGGCAGTGCTCAGGGGACCATATGGGATGCTGGGCATCGAATCCGGGTCAGCCACGTGCAAGGGAAACGCCCTATCGGCTGTGCTATTGCTCCAGCCCCTATAACTACTTTTTTATCACTCCGCAGCAATTTGTTTGTATTCCAAGATTTTTTGGGAATTTACCTTTATTTCATATACTTCTGATCAATTCCAACTCATGCCCAATTATATTACCCTAAATTAAATCAACAGATGTTGATATTTAATGTTTTTTCTTTTTGTTTTTGTGTCACACCAGGCAGTGTGCAGGGGTTACTCCTGGCTCTGAACTAAGGAATCACTTCTGAGAGGCTCGGGGGTGGGCATAGCACTTGCCAGGTATGGAACCTGGGTTGGCTGTGTGAAAGGCGAACACCCTACCAGTTGTGCTGTCACTCCAACCTCAAGACTTTTGTTTTAGGGCTGCGCCAGGGGTGCTCAGGAGTTACTCCCGAAGGAGTTTTCAGGGCTGGGGAAACGTGGTGCTGGGGATTGAACGCAGGATTCCCACATACAAAGCAGCCTTTTAAGTCACCTCACCAGCTCAAGACTATTTTTTTTAAAGTGTTTTTCTTTTTTTGCTTTTTGGTTCACACCTGGCGATGCACAGGGGTTCCTACTGGCTCATGCACTCAGAAATTACTCCTGGCGGTGCTCGGGGGACCCTGTGGGATGCTGGGAATCGAACCAGGGTCGGCTGCATACAAGGCAAATGCCCTACCTGCTGTACTATCGCTCCAGCTCCACTATTTTTGTTTTAACTTTCAGTCTTGAGCCACCATGAATGAAAAACATCGAAGTTAAAAACTGTCCCCTGGGGGCTGGAGCAATAACACAGCGGGTAGGGTGTTTGCCTTGCACGTGGCTGACCCGGGTTCGATTCCCAGCATCGCATCCCATATGGTCCCCTGAGCACCGCCAGGGGTAATTCCTGAGCGCAGAGCCAGGAGTAACCCCTGTGCATCGCTGGGAGTGACCCAAAAAAGAAAAAAGAAAAAAAAAAGAAAAAAAAACAAACAAACCCAAAAAAACTGTCCCCTGGAATAGAAGCCAGAAAACATTTTACCTAAATAAGTATGGCCGATGGTTGCTAGAGAGCCCGTTAGTATATGGAAATTCTATCTCAGCAGGGCTGATTTAAAGGGCATGTTAGAAGTTGAGTCAGCACTGTGGTGCTCTCTGTGCCTCGGTTGGCTAGATAAAGGCCATTGACCAAAGATAGCCGGAGCAGGGTGAGGGCAGCACCCGCCTAAAAGGAGCCAGTGTTGGCGGAGGCTTATGCCTGGTGGACTGTAGTAAAAACAGTGCCCGTCATTCATCCGGTGACCTAGATTATCTTTATCAAAAAGACTCTCTTACAGTAGAAAGGACTTCAGAATTTTAGCATCCTTCCAAATCCATTACTTCCCTGGCTCCGTGTCTGGGAAATTGTAGCCCTTTATTTATTTATTTTACTTGGAGGAAGGTGCAGAATTCCCAGATGAGCCCCCCCCAGCCCCCCAGCTGTGGTCTCGGGGGAGTCACTCCCAGGGGTGCTCCGAAACCCCAGAGGCTCTCCAGAGCAGTGCTCTGAAGGCCAGGAGGGAACAGAGAAGGAACCTGGGTCTTTGCATGCTCCCCAAGCCCTGTAGGGCTTTCCCAGCACCACCTGCTTTGCCTTTTTAAATTTTTGTTTGATTTTGGCTGACCCGTGTTCGATCCCTCCACCCCTCTCCAAGAGCCTGGCACGCTACCGAGAGTATCTCACCCTCATGGCAAAGCCTGGCAAGCTACCCGTGGCGTATTCGTTATGCCAAACACAGTAACACGTCTCACAATGTTACTGGGTCCGCTCAAGCAAAATCAATGAACAACGGGAGGATGGTGACAGTGACTGATTTTGCAACCTAGTGGTAACTGGGACATATTGCTGGCTCTGTGCTCAGGGTCTGAGAACCAAGTGTGGTGCTAGGTGGTGCTAGGGATCAAACCCAGGTCGGCTGAGTGCAAGGCAAGCACCCTGTAGGGACCTTCTGTTCTGTCTCTGTTTTTTTTTTTTTTCCTTTTTGGGTCACACCCAGCAATGCTCAGGGGTTACTCCTGGCTTTGCACTCAGGAATAACTCCTGGCAGTGCTCAGGGGACATATGGGATGCTGGGGATCGAACCTGGGTCGAACGTGCAAGGCAAACGCCCTACCTGCTGTGCTATCACTCTGGCCCCTATCTTTATGTTTTTTTAATCTCTCCTTCCCCTGCTTCACTCCTTCTCCCTGATCATGAATTAATTTTTCCAATGCTGTTTCTAAGGTTATCTACCTTTTTTCCCCTCAAAAAACATTACTGTTATTATTTTCACACTATAAAATATCGTACTTATCCTTCACTAATTTGTGTTCAAACTGTCGCCACAGCTTTGGTCATCACCAAAGCTTTTAGGGTGCAATTTCTGAATTGCCATGGATATACATGACCTCAAAGAAAATGCCCCATGAGGTTTATCTTCTGCTACCTTGCTAGCATTCAGTCAACGGGGAACATTATTATTATTTTTTTTTAAATGGGGCTGGAGCAATACTACAGCACGTAGAACACTTGCCTCGTAGGCAGCCAACCTGGGTTGGATCTCTAGCATCCCATATGGTTCCCTGAGCAGTACCAGGGGTGATCCCTGAGTACAGAGCCAGGAGTAAAAACAGATTGCTGCCACAGGATCTGAGAGGTAGTATAATAGTTAAGGCACTTGCCTTGCATGCAGCCAACTTCGGTGGTACCACATATGCTCTCATTATATGGTCCCCGAGCACTGCCAGGAATAAGGCTCTATGGTTCTATGATGTGCCCCCCCCCCGCCCCCCAACAAAACAAAACAAAACAATGTTCTCTTCTGCTTTTGCGGGATAGAGGTTGATTGAGAAAACCCAGAGCCCCTATTATGCAAAGCATCCACTCCTCCATGGAGCCCCCAGGCTTATTATCGAAAGTTCTGGTCACACAGCAGTACTGTCGAAAGTATATCTTTTCAGACTTCGATTTTCTGTTCTTTGCTCTATTGATCACTCTACTAGGCTAAGACTTTTTGAAAGCTGACCTCCCAATGCATTGTAGGTGGGTGTGTGAATCAGTATGTTCTGTAGGAAGGACAATTTGTTAATATGGACCAAAACTGTAAAACCATGTGTTCTTGGGGCTGGAGCCATAGCACAGTGGGTAGGCCATTTGCCTGGCTTTTGGCTGACCTGGGTTTGATTCCCAGCATCCCAAATGGTCCCCCAAGCACCGCCAGGAATAATTCCTGAGCGCATGAACCAGGAGTAACCCCTGTGCATTGGGTGTGACCCGAAAAGAAAAAAGAAAAGCATGTGTTCTCCGGCCAGCTAGCCCTACTTCTCGGCATAGAACCCAGAGAGAGTTGCACTTGAGCAGAGTGAGAAATGAACATTATTTGTTGAGTATCGAGAAACACAACAAAAAGACTGGAGATAATAAGCCCACAGACAGGGGCCCAGGAGAGACAAGCCGAGGAAAGGGGGACGCAACGTTCCCGAATGCTCGTTGGCCTCTGGTTTCGAGGCTGGTGGGCTCTTTCTGATAGGTTGTCCTTAGCTATTTGTTTTGCAACCTGGAGGCATTTACAGTTTCAGATTTAGGTTTGCTTAGATAGGCCCAAGGCCTGAGAGTCCTCTGGTCTGCTGGGCTCCTTGTTTAAATTCATTTAACAATAAACAAACGAGAGGCTGAGAAAATTAACTATAATTTAGCTCTACACGGAATGCCATGGCTGTGGAGAGGATTAGGCAGCTCTCTCTAAACCGACAGGGAAAGGTGTCAGAGAAAATAAGTGAATGAGACAACATGGTCAAAGTGTGTGTAGTGAATTATAGTCTATAAAAAGGGGAGAGAGGCAGAGGATAAGCGTGTAAACACAAAAAGACAGCAGCGATTAATCTCTTCCGCCGCCTGCGTTCGGTAGTCTCAGGCCGTTTCCCCCACTCCAGGGAGGTAGGTGGCGATGGGCAGGCGGAGGAAGGAAATGAGGGCCAGGCTGGTTGGTCTTGGTTGCAGTTTATTCCAATCCTCTCTCCATTCACGCCTGTCTTTCCTCTGCCTCTCCCAGCCCACTCTTACAGTCTCATTATATCCCATAAAAGAAATTGGAGGGCCCAGATTCTTTCAGACCTATCACCCCCAGGTTCTCTCAAGCCTGTGTTCTCTAGGTTGTCTCAGGCCTGTGTTCCCCCCAGAGAGCCCCAAAATCTCCTTTTATTGATCATGGTACCTCTAAAGGGCGCAGTGCAGTGATGTCATCAAAAGGAGTTACAGGAAGAACATTAAAAATCACAGTTACTATCCTCCCGTTGTTCATCGATTTGCTCGAGCGGGCCCAGTAACGTCTCCATCATGAGACTTGTTGTTACTGTGTTTGGCATATTGAATACGTCACGGGTAGCTTGCCAGGCTCTGCCGTGTGGGCGAGATACTCTGGGTAGCTGGGGCGGAGGAATGGAACTTGGGTTGGCCATGTTGGCTGCGTGCAAGGCAAATGCCCTACCACTCTTGAGGCTTCAAAACATACATTGTTTCTTTGCATCTGCAGGCCAGTAATTTTGGCCTCCGAAAGAAGATACAAAACCGAAACTGAAACCTTTCTTGGGCTACAAGCATGCACTTGGATTTGCATCCCAAAGACTAGTCTGGCTAGAGCCTGGAATCTGCATCCTAAAGATCAGGACTGGCTAGCACCTGAGACCTGCATGTCAAAGACCAGCCAGGTTTCTGTGAGAAAAGGAAAACTGCCTCTTACAATATACTGAAATTATTTACTGAAGGCAGTTTGAAGGGGAAAAATGTTCAGCCTCATCCAAACTAGTCAGGACACAGGGAAAGCCTCTTCTAGGACAGATTCTCATTTAGCAGATCAACCCACCCTAGAACGGAATCCCCTGGGTGTGTTTCTCCTCTCCTTGTCCAACAAACATATAAGCATACATAATATAAATCATTTTGTATGGACACAGTAAAAAAATACTTTAAACTTATAGAGTTGCTCTCCTAGGGCCATCTCGATCTCAGACTACAGTGCTCAGACTAGATAGTCTTTCCTATCCCTAGCGGGGTCCTAGTCTCGTCGTTACTTTTGGATCATGAAAGCATTTGCCTATGATCAAATTCTTAACCTATAGTTAAGAATCGTGGCACTTTGGCCTGGCCCATCTCAATGCCAAGGTAGCATATAGCTTACTGCTTGCCCTGGTTCCATCCAGTCCCTCGTCAGGACCCTGCTTTTGGGGCACTAGGAAGTGAGGGCAACTGAGGCGAAGTTGAGAAAGCAGATGCCTGGGAATGAATAATATCCAAAGCCAATTAAATCCTAAGTTACAAAGCATAATATTAACTGTCTTCCTGCATCTATACAAAAAGGACATTGCATTAAAGTAAACTATTCAAAAGACATAAGGAGAGAAGAAAAGCAATATTAACTTACAATACAAGTTCAGTGTCCTGAAAGGATCTGACCTTACAGATTAACAGATTCTGACTAGGGGAAAAGCTGATTAACTGGTTGGGGAAGAGAGCATAGAGAAGTGGTTACAGATAAAGTAATGGGAATGACTCCGGAACACTATGATGGGTGTGACTCAATGAACCTAAGCTCCTTGTGGCAAGCGAGAAAGGACAAATCAATTGTTATCCTACAGATAAGGAAATAAAAAATGGGACAGGGGAGATGGTGAAAGAATCCATATTAGGGCATCAAATTTTTGTGTGCTTCAGCTAACTTGCAACATTGCTTTCTGTAAAACTGCTTGGCTGCTTTGCACCTGGGGGAGAGGGGCCTTGGAAAGTGAACAGGGCATAACTTCTTTCTAAACCAAGTGTGACAGGATTCAGGTGTATTTACTGTTCCTGGAATGTATTGTCTCACTAAAGCACCCTGCAGACTTGGGTAACTCAAAAGGAGGATGGTCAAGGGAGATTACCTAAGGCTTAATGATTCCAGCTATAACCTTGCTTGTGCTGACAATCGATGTACATAAATGCTGATCTTTGAATCTATAGGCTAAGGAGTGAGGTACTTTTAAATGGATTGGTTAAGAAAGTATATGTTGTTACAAATCTATTGGCTGTGAAATGCGCGGGCTTTGCTGTAACGAACGGCCAGTGAAGGCCTATATAAGATCCCCTTTGAAGAAGTTCGGGGCTCTCAGCCACTGCCCATTTTTGGGGTATGCTGCGGAGTCCCAGCATGCTGGTCTAAATAAACCCCGTTTTTACTCCTGCAGGAATTGTGTCTATCTGGTCTCTCCGCGCCTCCCAGGGCTAGGGAACTCCCGATCCCAACAATGGCACAGGAGGCTGAAGCATGAGGGCGTCTCCTTTGCATGAGGGAGTCTGGGCTTTGATCCATCCCTTGGCAGCCAGGCTGGGAGTAGTCTCCAGCCCTGACAAAAGCTGGGTGAAGGACGTATGTGGGGCTGGAGATGCAGCTCAAGGTTTAGCGCACATGCTGGCATGTGCCAGGCCCTGGGCTTGATCCTGGCAGAGCAGGACCTCCCCCCCCCCCCCCGCTCCCCAAGCAGTGTCAAGAATGACCCCAAAAAACAAAACAAAGTGGATATTTGGAATTTATATATACTTCACACACATATTTATGGATCTAGATGTCCATGTAGAGTTTTGCATATATATTTTCTTTGGGAAAGCAGAGTAGCTGGACTGAGGGTGTAGCCCAGTCACAAAACACTCTCTGGGGTCGGGAGTGTTGCATGAGAGGCACATACTCAGTTCCTGGCACTGCATGAGCCCATGAGCACTGTAAGCAACCCACTGGATGTGGCCCCAAACCCTGACCTCCACCTGTTGGGATCGGGAGTTCCCTAGCCCTGGGAGGCACGGAGAGACCAGCAAAGCCCTGGGAGGCGCGGAGAGAACAGCAAAGCCCGCGCATTTCACAGCCAATAGATTTGTAACAACATATACTTTCTTAACCAATCCATTTAAAAGTACCTCACTCCTTAGCCTATAGATTCAAAGATCAGCATTTACGAATCATTAAGCCTTAGGTAATCTCCCTTGACCATCCTCCTTTTGAGTTACCCAAGTCTGCAGGGTGCTTTAGTGAGACAATACACTCCAGGAAAGGGCAATTTCCCCCAACCACCCGCATCCTGAGTTATCCTTTACCCAAATCTGCAGGGTGCTTTACTGAGACAATACATTTCAGGAACAGTAAATACACCTGAATCCTGTCACACTTGGTTTAGAAAGAAGTTATGCCCTGTTCACTTTCCAAGTCTCCCCCAGGTGCAAAGCAGCCAAGCAGCTTTACAGAAAGCAATGTTGCAAGTTAGCTGAAGTACACAAAAATTTGATGCCCTAATATGGATTCTTTCACACCCACCCCCACCGAAATAAATGAAAGCACTTGCCTTGCATGTGTGAGTTCCTGTGTTCAATTCCAGGCACAATAATAATAATAATAATAATAATCACTGTCACTGTCCTCCCGTTGTTCATCGATGTGCTCGAGCAGGCCCAGTAACATCTCCATTGGAGACTTTGTAAATAAAAGCCAAACAAGCACAAAAACTGAACACCAGAGGACAAAACCAAACCCCACTGCATGTTCTCAAGTCAAGGAAACCAACCCAGGATTTTTTTTTTCCTCTTCTAGAAATCAGGCAAAGCTCGTGGGAGTCACGTCCCAATGACATAAGACACCAGTCAGTCCCACGGAAGGCTCAGAAGCTGTGCCAGCACAGAGCACAGACTGCCTTGGGGTTGCAACCACGGGTGGAAGCTGGCAGCTGGGCTTTCCCTGAAGTCAGGCCCCTGGGAATCAGGGTTCCTAGCTTTGTACCAGCTTCCTCAGCCTCCCTGACCCTGGACTGCCCCCACCCCACCCCCTCCCACCCCTGGCTTTGGCAAGGTAAAGAGAAGGTTCACTAGGTAGCCTGAACAGTTTGCCTTCCTGCTGGCAGGGGAAGAGCTCAGGTTGCCAGGGTGTATACTCCCCTGCAGAGCAGAGCAGACTGGAGGGCCACCTCTGCATTCCATTCCTGGGACAGGACGGGGTGGGGGTGGGGGGTGTTTCTTCCTCACTCCCCCAGACCGGGAGGACACTGCAGTTGACACTGCCAAAACTGGGACAGAATCCTGGTTCCTTGCTCTGTTTCTCAGGCAATATGTCCTGTGTTTTTCTTTCCGGTTTCTTATTTCAAATCCAGTGTTAGTACAGTAACAAAATGAGCTCACAAGGTAAATAACCAGGCCCCTGGAGCTGCGTTTCCCACACTGAGCCAAGCGTTATCAGGGATCAGTGACATGGGGACAGGGTTTTCTAATTTGTAAAAAGAGAAAAAACCTAAAATCTATGGGGGGGGGGGTTGGAGTGATAGTACAGCAGGTAGGGTGCTTACCTTGCAGGCAAACAAAACAAAAATGTCTTGTACGGTTAATGCCAGTTACCCTTCCTTAAGAAGTTAAGTCTCTTCTAACACCCAAGAGTGGCCGGGATTAGTACCAGGAGGTCTGCTCCATGGCTTGGAGGCCAGCCACACATGCTAGGGGAAAAGGGAGCTCAGATAGAGAAGGGAGCACCAAATAAAGGATGTTGGGAGGATCCTCCCAGGATGGGAGAAGCCTGCTGAAAGTAGACTCTAGACCAAACATGATTGCCACTCAATGCCTCTTTTGCAAACCACAACACCCAAGAGGAGAGAGAGAACAAAAGGGAATGCCCTGCCACAAAGGCAGGGTAGTATGGGGGGGTTGGGGGGTGGGAGGGATACTGGGACCCGTGGTGGTGGGAAATGGGCACTGGTGGAGGGATGGGTATTTGATCATTGTATAATTGAAACTCAAGCACAAAAATTTGTAAGTCTCATGGTGTCTCACTAATAAAAATTAAAAAAAGAAGAAGTTAAGTCTCTTGGCTGGATCGATAGTACAGTGGGTAGGGTGTTTGCCTTGCATGCATCGGCCTGGGTTGCATCCGACCTGAATTGCCTCAAGCACTGCCAGGAGTAATTCCTGAGCACAGAGCCAGGAGTAAGTCCTGAGCATCACAGGGGTAGCCAAAAAAAGAAACAAAGTTACATTTCTGAGCCAGAGAGATAGTACAATGGATAGGGCATTTTTCTTGTGCATGACTGACCCATGTTCGATCTCCATCACTACCACTTAGGGTTTCAAGCCCCACCACGAGTGTTTCCTGAGCACAGAGCCAGGAGTAAACTGAGAACCACTGGGTGTGCCCTCCCCCCTCCAAAAAAATGTTAAGTTTAAGAGTTGGGTCTTGGTTAATAGAACACAAATAATACTCCTATGTTGTTAGCCAATAAATGTCAAAGAACTGGGAGGAAAAACTGTACATGCGCAGAAAGAAAATTATAGGTCAATATTTCTCATGAAAGAATTTCTCCAAAGGGAAACAAAATGAACCCAACAATGTGTAAAAAAAAAAAGGTCACATCATAACCATGTGAGACTCCATGAATATAAAGTCAGCCTTTCAATTAATTCACCATATTAATGAAATTAAGGAGAAAACCCCTATGTTCAAACTAATAGATGCAGAAAAAATATAGGATTCAACACCCTTACTTGATTTTTGGAAACCGCAGTGGGCTGGAGAGCTCAAAAGGTTGAACGCATCTTTAGTGTGCTGGAAGCCTGGGTTCCATCTGGTGCTGTCCCCTCAGCATGGCCAGGAGCAACCACCAAGCACTGCATGGGAAGTAATCCCTGAACACCACTGGGAGAGGGGACCCCGCTGCCCCTCCGTTAACCTCTTAGGGATCAGGGGAGTAAGTCAGTGATGGGTAGCACATGTCTTGGGTGTAGAGGGAGCTGGCATGCTCTTTGGGCCCCAGAGTACCATAGGGCATGGCCCTGGTGACCCCCAGCACATAGGGCCTGATCACTGAACCATCTAGCCATGTGGCCCACAGTCCCTAAACACTGCTTGGGAGGCACCCCTTCGTCCCCCCCCCCCCCAAGTTAACCTTTTCATTTTAGAAAGCTTTTGATTTCTAGAAGAGTTGAAACATCAAAGTTTTGTAGAACCCTCTCCCCATTTCCCATAATGGTGCTATGTGACATCACTCTGCTACCTTTGTCCCAAAAAAGAAATCAAAATTGGCCTATGCCTTTATTTAGGTGTGGCCAGTTTTTCCAGTTGTGAGATCCAGTTCCAGCCTCCACACTGCATTTAGTTGTGTCTTCTAGTCTGTTCAGATATTTGACAATATCTGTGTTTGTTTTCTAATTTTGGGGTTACACCCAGCAGTCCTCAGGGATTGTATGGTGCTGAGTCTAGAACCAAGGCTTCTTCTCCTGGAGGTGCTCAGGAGAACCAGGAGGTGCAGCGGTGAATTGGTGTTGACCATTTATAAGGCAGGCAGTTACCCCGGTACCATCTCTCCCACGAAATATTTGTTTTCAATAATAATTATAATAAGAAATGGGAGGAAAAAACCCAAGAAAAATATTAACCGTCTAATTTTTTCCCCCTTTTTGGGGGGGTCACACTTGGCGATGCTCACAGGTTACTCCTGGCTTTGCACTAAGGAATCACTTCTGCAAGTGCTCAGGGGGCCATATGTGATGCTGGGAATCGAACCCAGGTCCGCAGGGTGTGAAGGCAAACACCTTACCCGCTGTGCTATCGCTCCAGCCCTAGCAATTTAAATTTAAAAAAATTCATGGAAGGCCCTGAAGGGGTAGTACAGCAGGTAAGACACTTGTTTTGCAAACAGCTAACCTGGTTTTAACCCCTTGTACCACATATGATCCCTGAGCGGTGGAGTCAGGAATAAGCCCTGAGCACAGCCAGGTGTGACCCAAACGCCCCCCTCTCCCCCCCCAAAAAAAAGTAGTGACTTTTTCAAGTTACTTGTTTGAAATTCTAAGACAAATTCAATTATCAATTTAAAGTATTTTAATCTGAAAAGGGCTGGAGCGATAGCACAGCGGATAGGGCGTCTGCCTTACAAGCGGCCAACATGGCCGACCCGAGTTCGATTCCTCCGCCCCTCTCGGAGAGCCCGGCAAGCTACCGAGAGTATTCGATATGCCAGACACAGTAACAACAAAGTCTCCAATGGAGACGTTACTGGGCCCGCTGGAGCAAATCGATGATCAACGGGAGGGCCTTTACTTACTTAATCTGAAAAAAAATTTGTAACCTAGAGTTCAATGGCTCCGCAAACATTCCGTTTTTGTTTTAGACTTTTGGGCCACACCCTGTGGTGCACAGGTAACAATTCCAGTCGTTGTTGGGGGATCATATGGGATGATGGTCCGACTGGGGTCCACCGCGTGCAAGGCAATTGCTCTACCCGCTGTACAATAGCTATCGCTCTGGCCGGTCCTTAATTTCGAAACTGGGGACACTGGTGGAGGGAAGTGGACCCTGGTGACGTACTGGTGCGGGAGCGTTTCACCTGCAACTTAATTACGAATAACTTTTTTTTTTTTTTTTTTTGCTTTTTTTTGGGTCACACCCGGTGATGCACAGGGCTTCCTCCTGGCTCTGCACTCAGGAATTACCCCTGGCGGTGATCAGGGGACCATCTGGGATGCTGGGGACCTGAACCCAGGTCGGCCGCGTGCAAGGCACGTCCTACCCCCGTGCTATCGCTCCAGCCCCTCACCTGCAACTTAATAATGAATAACTTTTTAAAACTGAAAATTCACGATGATTCAGTTGAAAAAAAAATCTGCTCTATCTGTCCCCAGCAGGATTGATTCACCAGATCCCAGCCTCGAGGCTGCACAATGGAGCTGTAAATCCGAGACCGAACTAGAGATCAGAGGAAACAGACTTCGCGGGACTCTGGAAGCGACCACGGATTAGATTTTACCATTGACACTCGACCCTTCCTCCCAATTCTTGGCCGGTATGTAAAATGGAGCAAAGGAAAAATCTCCTCTGCCGAGGCGCCCACTCGTCGCTTTAGACAGCCTTTCGAAATCATGGCCTTCGATTGGCGAGATTTGGTGCTGGGCGGCTCTGATTGGCTCCCTGGAACTCGAACCAGGTCTCCCTCCGTGGATGGGCAGAGTGGGCGGGACTTGAAACCGCATCCCCAGTCTCATTGGTGCGAGGGAAACGCACTAGGTTCTGTCCCGGGGTGTGATTGGCCGTTGCCAGGAGCCGCCCGGCGGGTCTAACGGGGCCCGGTTACGGAAGCCGCGGAGGGCTGCGGGCCGGCTCCCTCAGGAAGTTCGCCGTGCGAGCCCCCGTAGCGGCGCAGCGGTCTCGGGCCTAATGGCGGCCAAGGAAGCCAGCGGCGGCGAGGGGCTGGGGCCCGGGGGCGAGAAGCCCGTCACCTACTACCGGTTGAATGAGGTGGCGAAGCGCAACTCCATGAAGGAGATATGGCTGGTGATCCACGGGCGCGTCTACGATATCACCCGCTTCCTCAACGAGGTGGGGCCCGGGAGGTGGGCGGCCCCGGGGCTGCCGCGGGCCGGGGGGCGGGGGGGAGTCGGGCCCGAGGCGGGGCGACCCGTGTGGGGCCCGGGGGCGGGCCAGTGGGGCGGCCGGAGCGCGCAGCCCCTGCACGGTGCCCGGCGACCCCATCTCCCAGGCCGGGAGACTGAGCCGCCGGGAACCGGGGTGGGGGGTGGGGGCGCCCCGGGCCGCCCTCGCCACGGGTTCTGCAGCCCTCGCCCCCCGCGTGGGCCCCTGACGTCATCCCGTGGGGGGGTTCCTTCCCCACCCCCCATTCCTTCCCGCTGCCTCCCCGCCCCTCTGCTTCCTAATTTGGGCCGACCTTGAGGCCAGAAGGTCGCGGGTGAATCCCATTTAGCAGGTCCTTGAAACTTGGGTAACCGAGGTTTTTTTTTTTTCCCTTTTTAAAATTTAAACTCTAGGAACCAGAATAGCGATTTCCTCTGATTTTTATTGAGTGGTAATTGCCACGCAGTAAATTGGGCCCATTGAAAACGCACCCTTTGGTGAGCCTTGTCTAAGTATTCACCCTGGTAATCATGACCCCAATTAAGAAAATTAAGAGGCATTCCGTCCCTGGGAAAAGTTCTCTTTGAAGTCATTCCCTCCACACCCCCCCCATTGCACCCTTGAGGCACTATATATGCGTATGAATACATGCACATGTTGCATGTACTTTGTGCATGGTTTTTCTGTGTGGGTAAGTAACCATTAATAATCTTAGTCATTACTGGAACTCGTGCATAATATGACCTTGTTGGAACTGAAAAGTTTATTTAGATTTTTTTTCTTTGAATCAGATCTACTGGTAATTTTTTTTTTCCTCTTCACTCACTTTGGGCCTAGGGAAGACATTTCTGCACCCTGACTCATAAATCAGTAAAAATGTCAAAATGTCAAAATCCCAAGTTTCTCCTAAAGAAATTTTTTTTTGAGGTGTTAGGGACTGAACCCAGGGGCTCAACATGAGTCAGGTAGGTGTTCTGCCGCTGAGATACAGCCCTGTCCCCCCACAAATCACAATTATCATTTTGGTCTTCTGTCCACACCTGGCAGTGCCAAGAGTTGATGGTTGGCTCTATACTCAGGGATCACTCCTGGTGGAACCCAGGGGACTTGTGTGGTTCAGGGATCGAATTTGGGTTGGCAGCATTGAAAACAACACCTTTCTCGCCGGCCCCCTAAATCCAGTTATTTAAATCTTCCTAGTGAGTAGCCATAAAATTTAATAACTTGTTTTGTTTGTGTTTATGCGTCATTTTCGGCTTTTAATGGTGCTATTATTGGGCTGGAGAGGTTGTACAGCGTGTAGGGTGCTTGCCTTGCACTTGACTGACCTGGGTGGATCCCTGGCATCCCATATGCTCCCCTGAGCCCGCCAGGAGTGATCCTTGAGCTGAGAGCCCTAAGCACCACCAGGTGTGGCCCCAAACGAAAGTGCTATTGCTGGGCTGGAGATACGATACAGGAGGTAGAGCACGGGCCTTGCCAACTGTTGCTTCCTGCCAACTGTGGTTTACATCCCTGGCACCACATATGGTCCCCTGAGCACTGCCAGGGTGTCATTCCAGAGTTCTCTGCATGTGGCCCCAAACTGCCTCCCAAACAATAATGAAAAAAGTGCTATCTGAGAATTTCATTCTGTATGTAAGTAGTTGAGGGTGATTTGGTTGGGAGTGACTCATCCCAGCTATGGAAACAGGTTTAGAGAGTTTTTGTCATATGGTTGGTGTGTGGCAGCCATTTGGGTAGATCCCTTGGTTTCTCTTGTCCGCATAGCATTACAGACCCCCCTGCTATCTGAGAATAGAATGTTCCTATTTGCTGTGATTTGGCAGGTTATTTTGGGGGTCTGGGAATGCTAAGCATTTTTTCCATATAAATTAATGCTAATAGCATTCCTCGGCTCCCAGAATAACCTACCAAATCGTACCAAATAGGAACATTCTATGTTTGTGAAAGGACAGGGGCAGGGTGGGCATTCTGCCTTTGAATTTGGGCCTTAGCTATGTCCTTTTGTGTTGGCCTCGTGGTTATGTTTCATTGGGATGATAACACGTGGCACTGGTTAGGCAATCTTATTTTTCATTTGTGGTTCCATTGCCTCTTTTCTTCTTGAGTGATTCTGAATAATGAACTTAAAAGGAACACACAGTGCTTAGAGTAGGGGGCAAGCATCCGGCCTCAGGGAGCGGCGGTTACCCGGTCAGCACACGCGGATGGCACCAGAGCCTGTGCACGTGGGCCACTGCTGCTGCAGTCGGAGCTGTCGAACTTGAACTTGCCCTGCGTGGGCCGTTCCTTTCCTCTGCAGTCTCTGTCCCTATTTTCTTTGCCATCCCCAAGCCTGTTCATTCATTTATTCAGGTGTTTATCAAAGTGTCTGCAGCATGTCAGATACTATGTCTATGTGCTGGGGGGGTGGATAAACATTTCCACCCTTATGGAGATTACAGCCTTTGACCAGAAGCAAAGTAAATAAGGAAAATATGTACTGTGTTAGGTGTAGTGATGGACGCTTGGAAGACAAAGCTGGGAGGAGGGCTGTGGAATGTAGAAGGGGAGGGTGTGAGGATGTGGGCTCACAGCCTCAGGTCTGAAGGCTTTGTTGAGGTGACTAAAGGCTGGGGAGGAAGTTACTGGCCCTCGGGCCTTGGGAGTATCTGCAGGAAGAGCATTCCCAGTGGAAGGGGCAAGTTCAGAGGCTTAAGGGAGGAGGGTGGCTAGTGTGCTTGAGGAAGGGCTGTTGAAGCTGTATCTAGATGAACTTGGACTGATGGGGCGTGGAGGAAGAAGGTTTTGCAGATCATGTATGTCTTTTTTTGAGGAAGGATTTCGATTTTCTGAGATGGGAAGTCATTGGAGCAGAGGAGTGACATGATGTGACTTAATGATTTCGTGGTGTCACTTTTGCCTGCGTCTTGAGACTGAGGAACAGACATGAACTCAATTAGAAGTAGGAATTCAGCCCAGGGGGGCTAGTGAGAGTGTCAGCTTGAAAAGTCCTATGGTGACAGAGCCTGTTACTACCGCTGGATTTGGTGAGGGTGGGAAAGGAGCCAAGGATGGCACCTTCCTCTGGAAGAGTAGGTTACTATTCAGTGACACGGAAGACGACATATCGTTTTTTTTCTCCAACCTATAGTTACTGTGGGCTCCTCCTAATCTTTTTTTTTTTTTTTTTTTTTTTGCTTTTTTAGTCATATCCGGCGATACACAGGGGTTACTGGGTTACTCCTGGTTCATGCACTCAGGTATTACTCCCGGCGGTGCTCGGGAGACCATGTGGGATGCTGGGAATTGAACCCGGGTTGGCCGCGTGCAAGGCAAATGCCCTACCCGCTGTGGAGTCACACCAGCCCTCCTCCTAATCTTAATGTCCTCTATCTATATATTGCTCTTCAAAAAAACATTAAAGCACGTGATTACAGTGTCATCCTATACTTTGAATGCGATCACTTAGAATTGGTAATAGAAAATGAGTTATCTTTGGGGGCGAGGGTTTTGGGGCTCCACCAACAGTGCTCAGGGATTGTTCCTTGCTCTGTTCAGGAGTGACCCCTGGTGGTGCTCTGGGGACCATGTGTGGTGCTGGAGATTTGAGTCAGCACGGTTGTGGTCACATGCAGGGCAAGTTCCCTGTTTGCTGTGTTATTTCTCTGCTCCCGCTCCCACTTTTTTGTTACTTTGGACCACGCTCAGTGGTGTTGAGGGACTGTTCCTGGTTCTGTGCCTAGGAGTATCCCCTGGAAGTACTTGGGGGACCATATGTGGTGCTGGGGGTTGTACCAGGGTCAGCCACATGCAAGGCAAGTACATTATCTTCCATACTATTTCTCCAGCCCCTTAATTGAATTTTCTTTATCTTAACAGATTTTGCATGTTAAAATCAGTGATACGGTTTAATCTATTGAGTTGTAGGTTTAACCTGCCAAAAAGAGCATACAAAAATGAACGTCTTTTCACTCTTTAGTAGTTTACAAACATCACCTAAAAGTGATAACAACGTTTTAAGACATTGACTAGAAAAGATCGAAGCACATCTGTAGCAATGATAAATAGGTTTTTGTGAACTTTGGTTTTGGGGACCATACCTGATGCTGCTCAGGAACTATTGTTGGGGTGCTTGGGTGTCACTATGCTTTCATAGTAGTGATTATATTTGGCATTTTGTTTTATACTTGCAGAAAATTTTTAAATTGATTTTCGATGAAGGCAGCATGATTTACATTTTGCCTCTCTACTGTCTTGTGTTTTGCCGATGACCTGTGCTGTCGCTTCCTTGAACCCGTTGAGCATCCCCATCATGGCATCAGCGCACACGCCGTCTGAGCAATGGCTGGCGTTGCTTGTGTCTTCCATGGCTTAGTCTTCGCTGATTGAACTTAGTGGGCTTCTACATGTTTTCTCCATTGGCTTTCTAGTGTTCTCGCAGTGCTGGGGGATGAGTGTAGTCACCCCCCACTCCGCAAGATCCCAAAAGATTTGAGGGTCATTTCCCTGTCTCCTTTCCCCGTCCTCACAGAGCAATAGGAAGAATAACTGTGAGCAGCACCTAAATTGTTGAGTACATGCGTCTAGCAGCTGCACACGTCAGGGCTATGGTGTGGCCCTTAATATGGTGCAGGCCAGTGTAGCAATGATAAATAGTATTTTGGGCCCCCCGGTTCCAGAAAGGCCCAGTGGTGTCAGCCGAGGCGAGCCTCACCTGGGCTGGTGGAGCTGTGAGCAGGTGGTCGGCGTATTTGGGTTTTCTTATTCTGAGGGCTTAACCTATAATTTCTCTTTCAGCCCTCCCAGCCTCCTGTTCAGAGATGAGAAAACTGGACAGAGAGTTTTCAAAAATTCATAAGGTTAAGGGGTGCAGTGATTTACAGAGTTGTTCATGATGGTTTGTTACAGACATTCACTATTCCAACACCAATCCCACCACCACTGTCACCTTCTCATCACCACTGTCTCCATTTTCCCAACCA